CAACAAATACAGTTTTTGTGCCAACAAAATGTATGTATGTATGTATGTACATATGTAAACAGAACAACGGTAAAAACATAAACACAAATGCACATCTCTTCATTAGGGTGGGTGGACTTAATGTTCAGAATCGATAGATGCACACTTAATCTCACATATACATTATTAATGGTAAAAAAAAAATCTTTTTTGGCACTGAGTGCATAAATTGACAAGAAAAGCTTTTCATCAACAAATTTGAATATACTTTTTACTGGTTTTTCATTAACTATTAAAATCTCAAATTTGTCAATTACAAACTACATAGTCACACCTTAATGTACCCATAGCAAAAAAAAAAAAAAACAATAGTGGTATTCACGATCCGGTGCATATGGTCTAGCATGGTGCATAGATAGCATAAATAGCATGATTGTTGTTGTTTCATGTGTTCAAACAACAACAAAATTAGTCAATCATGCTATCTATGTACCATACTAGACAGTATGCACCGGATCGTGAATACCCCTAATGATTGAATTTTTGCATTTGCCTGTTTGTGGAAAGCTATCTGCCGTGCCTCGTTGTTGTTGTTGTCATTCTATTGTGGGCGTTCAAGACTTTCGCTTGTTGTGTAGGTGGTGTTGGTTGCCGTTGGAAAACATTTCAAAACTGTTGCACAAACAGACGAAAGACAAGAAATTCTGCTCGCCATAATCCAACGTAGCCAAAACAAACAAAAAAAAAGAAGAAAAATAAATAAGTGAAATTAAAAATATATTGGCGCTTACATTTAGCACTTGGCTAGTAGGTATGTATGTAGATATGTATGTTGACATTGGAAAACGGCTACCCAATAATCAGAAAATCCAAGGTTTAAGTAACTTGATTAAAAAGAAAAATCGAACAATAGCCTACCCAAGAAGCCAGCCCCCTCCGCGTATTTCCCTTTTTCGTTTTTGTTTTTGTGTTCCTTACTTTCGTCAATACATACATATGTACAACTGCAGATCGGCAATGATTTCATTCCGCATGTGTTGAAATGTTTTTGAAACATTTTTACGCCGCCGCCGCCGCCGCTCATTAGCGTTGTAGCGTTGCAAGTCAGTCAGCCATTTCCACTTGTCTGCGGTATTTATGCATTTTTCGAAAATATTTGCCCGTTAAATATAAATGCTGCTAAATATATCGGCAGGCAGAGAAATTAAATCATCGCGCTCTATGCACACGTTCGCTCAAAATGAAAAGTGAAATTTGATCAGAAGCCAGCAGCCAAAAGCAATTATGAATCGAGGAGCTGAGGACGAGAACGAGGTAGTAGCGTTTAGTGTATAGTACTTGGTGCATATTTTTAGATATTATCGAGCAAAATACAGATGTGTTGAGGAATTCCCTAAGCGTGCAAGTCATGAAATTTTATAATCGGGCGAAATGTGTGCAACAACTATTATGAACATTTCTGAGTAAATTAGAAACACGTTTCTTGAATAAATACCCGCAAGCACTCGTCGTCGTGTGGCCGCCAAAAAGTCAACGTACGCAATCAGAGTTGACTCTCTTTTCATTAGCAGCATAGTAGTTGATTGCATCGTTGTTGATCAATGGCCACAACAGTTTACTTATACAGTTAAAAGCAGTTATGCATAAAACAGCAGCCGCACAGCGAAATAACCCTGCGAGTTTCTAAAGCCATCAACTTTATAGGGGG